AGATAAAGATAAAATTGTATAACATTAAGAATTATTTTCCATGAAAATGTCCAATTTTAGATTTACTTCACTTTGTAGTATATTCTGTCATTACAAAAAATTCACGTGAAAATTGTTTCAAGTTTCCCAGTTTATTTTCTAAATTAATAACGAATAACGCTCTTGGACGTTTTCGTTCTTTTTTATTATCGATTCTCCGCAATTCAGGTTTCGGTAGAAGTAGCCGTCCTGTTTTTAGTAATGAAGCCCACAAAGCCGAAAATCAGCTAGTCCAATCCATAGAAGAATGGAGAAGAGAAATGCAGTTAGAAAAGTTTATACTGTTAGGCCACTCGATGGGTGGCTTTTTAGCAGCAGCATATAGTATGCAGTATCCTGAAAGGATTATGCACCTGATACTCGCGGATCCTTGGGGTTTTCCTGAAAGGCCTGTGGAAAGAAAGTCAGTATCTATACCTTTGTGGGCGAAAGTTGTGGCTTACATGATTCAACCGTTAAACCCATTGTGGGCAGTTAGAATGGCTGGTCCATTTGGTTTGTAATTTTAATATTCTGTTTTGCACGAGTCTTTTAGGCTTTCTGTAACTGACTCTGAATTCTACCCTGAATTTTAACTGACATATTGTTTTCTTCTAGGACAGTGGCTGATTGAAAAAACAAGACCAGATATTGTAAAAAAGTTTGTACCTTTATTAAAAGATGATACGGCTATAATTGCACAATACATACATCAGTGTAATGTACAGACTCCAACGTAAATATTTTTCTGTTAATTTTATAAAAGTTGTCAGACTTGAAAATGTATAAAATATTGAAATAACATGTAAGTAAATGGTATATGTAATTTATAGGGGTGAAAGTGCATTCCATGCAATGATGCAAGGTTTTGGCTGGGCCAAAAATCCCATTGTCAAAAGAATAGACAAGTTGAATTCAGAAATTCCAATAACATTATTATATGGCAGTAGATCATGGGTTGACAACTCTTCTTGGGAAATATTAAAGCAAGCTAGATCGTCGTCTTACATCAATGTTCAGGTAAAGCAGTGGAAATAAAAATATGACATATAAATTATAAGTATTACACATTTTACATTACACAAATTGCTGTATTTCTTTGTATTCTAGGCAATAACGGGAGCAGGTCACCATGTTTACGCAGATAAAAGTGAGATTTTCAATAAATATGTATTAGAAGCGTGTAATTTAAGTGATTCGGTACCCAGTTTAATAACATCGGACATTCGTCCAAATATAACTCCTACAAGTGAACAAGAAATAACGGTGATTCTTACAAATCAAGAGATTGAGTCGAAAATCGTGGAACAACAAGATTTAAATACGGCGCAATCACAATCTAGTTGAAGTTTAGTACAGAAATTGTATTGCTAAATTATATATGTTCTTTTTAACTTTACCATGCAGTTAAATGAACTGCATGCATCATGTGATTTAGACTAGATACATGTACTGCAACATACAAAACAATTGCTTATGAGTTCGCATTACAATGTATTTTAACTTCCAATTTGTATAATGCCATATTGTATAGTATGTGACTCTTTGAATTATCAACAGAGGATATGAAAAGAATCTGCTTTTATCTGTTTTTATTGATTCTGTGCATACTTTTTCAAGTATTAATTAATATATTTAGTTTTGATATTATTTTACAAATTTTTATTCGTTTCATAGGATATAGATATGAATCCTATGTTATAAATAGGTAAGGGAGAGATCAAAATTAATATTAATTACAGTTACATTTCTTACATTCATGAACATTTTGAGATTAACATTTATAATATTTATTCATCATAGAGAAATTTTTTTAGATCAAATGAAATCAGTGGGATCAATGATCAAATAACATAAATTCTTTGAATGTAAATTACGTTTAAATTGTATAAAAAATAGCGTTTTTTTGTACATTATGTAGTTATATTATAAAATAAAATCAAAAATAAACATAAACAATGTTGAAAATGTTGAATTCTGTTCATAAAAATGTAAATTATAATAAAAAGGTATTATAGACTAAATTTTGTTATTAATATTTTAAACGTTGTATAACTTGAACTTTTCTGTTCATCTTTTTGTGTTCATATCTAAATCATCATACTTCTCTAAATCATCACACTTCTCTAAATCATCATACTTCTCTAAATCATCACACTTCTCTAAATCATCATACTTCTCTAAATCATCACACTTCTCTAAATCATCATACTGACGTAAATCATCATAATTATCCACATCATCATCAAGATCCTGTTCTTTATCAAGATCCTGTTCTTCATCAAGCCTAGAGGTATTTGTTTTCAAATATTCCTTGTATCTTATTTTACGCTCTAATATCTTAGCTTTCAAAAATTTGGTAAATTGATCCGTCTGTTCTTTTTGGTTCCAGAAACTTGGAATCTTTTGTGGGATAGATTCAGAAGCAAAAGTTAAACCAGATTGTTCATTTCTTGTTCTTATCTTAAGTTGTTGTTTCGACTGATTCAGTGAAGCTTTAATCTATAAAAACAGAAATTATGTATGCATGCAATTAATACATCAATAACTACTTCATTCATACGAATTACCTTTGACATTATTTGAGCATGATCTAAATCAAATATGATATGTTTCATCACTGGTAATGTTATAACAAAATTATCATCCGGATTATCTGGGTTTTCACATTCTGCAGTTTCATTGGTGCTATCAGTCAACTTTTTAGCTGAAACAACATGGTTTACAGAAAATGTATATATAGAGGATATATGATCTTCACCATAATCTGCAATCTTTAATCTTTTCTCTATTTCTTTTTCCTGTTCTATATGTTTACATCTTACAAATTTAATTTGAGGCACAAAGCCGATAATATGCAGGTGACATAACTCATTTCTGAGTTTAAATGCACATTTTTCTAATATTTCTTCAGTATCAGATGTGTCAATACTGTTGTCCGCCCAATGTATGTTAAGAATCTGAAAATCTTGTGTTATTTTTACATACATAATTTCGATACTTTTATTTAGAAGTCTAGCATCTAATTCTCCCGTAGACATAAAATCTGTAATATGTTGCATAAAAATTTTATTCAACACGTTCATTCTTTGTTGTGTCTGTACGGATGGTCCTCTTTTACGCGTTTCACTTGTTACAAGAGCTCCCTTTCGATCTCTGAAAATTAATGAGGTACCTCGTAAATAAAAATTTTCTTTAAAAACCTAAAGTTTATCTAATAGAAGACAGAAATACAGCTCATACTCACTTTAATAACTTATCCTTACGCATTAATTTTTGCATAATTCTACTTTCTCTGTTAATATTATACTTGTTTATACCAGTAAAGAAATATCTGTATATTGGATCTGTTATAAATATTGGTATATTTCGAATTTTTACAGAGAAATGCATGTTTCATCGAGTTCTTGGAAAGCACCGATACTTATTTTGTTACTGCACAGATCTATTAAACTTACATAGGTTATGTATTGTAAGTATTATAGGATACGTATACATCAACACATTGCAAGTTGCTTAGCAATGAATAGTGTAAAAATAAATTGTAATTATTTTGAATGTTAATCTTATGTTTTGCAGCCTATAAACGACTTAAATGCAAATTGATTAATCTGTATTATCTAAAAACTATTATCAATAAAAAGGAACGATCAGTAAAGAATGCATTTATAGTTGATTATATGGTTGAATTGTTAAGAATATTTTGTCCCTGACTTTTCATATACCAATAGAAAGAAAAAAAATACAAATCGATTAAATATTTATTAATATACATATTACTCGATAACATCGTATTAGAATAGGTGTAACATATAAAATTTCCGACTTTTATTCTTTCTAAATTTACTTTCGAATTACAATACTATGTACATGTAAACTATTTAATAATTAATTATATGCCAATAAAACTTTACATTTCCATTTTACCTAAAGAGAGAAGTCGTTAAAGGAACTGCCATAATTGCGCAACAGAGAAATACAATCTCAACGTTAATTTTTGCCAGAGCTTCGTGTAGCTGAAAATATTCATGAACGTAGATTTAAATATAACAATTACGCGAGCGGCGATACTGAGAAATTTGTATATGATCATGCTATGATATCTGTCTGAAAAAGCCATCCACTTTTTATTTTTAATGTTTGTTATCTATAAATCATCCATACTGTACAAGATTTCCTGAACAAAAAACAAGAAATTCTTTTTTCAATCCTATCTCTCTAAATGTCGATCTTATCTTAACAATAACAATAATAATAATAATATTAATAATAATAATAATAATAATAGTATATTGTTTGGTATAAAAGACAGATTAATGAGATCAGAAGTCAAATTTGAAAAATACTTATACCTAAATGCACACGCCACGTGCTGCAGGGAACCGAAACAGTCCGCAAATGAACAAAATATCGTGAGAGACGTAAATAACTTATTACAATTATAACCAAGTAAAATACATTGGACGACGAAACGTTGAGAATTTTGTAACTTCAAGACTTACGCCTAGTAAATTTAATTAAATATCACCCAAATCATATTTGCATGCTCCGAGCAATTCATTTACTCTCGGAGGACGCTTATAATCTATTGGTAAAATGAAGTTCATTTACCATCTATAGTCATTAGTTTTACAAATTCATCATATACATTTTCATACATGGAGTGTTCTACTATAATCTTCTTACTAAATTATCTCCGGGGCTATTCGATATTCGAAGGAAATGTTTTCAACGAAACGTATTTCACTGGAAAGAGGAGTTCTTCACCGTGACTTTTCTATTAGCATCCTCGTCGGAACAAGTTTCATTCGTAAACATTTGTTCGAGTAAGGAATGATATTGAGAAATAATTATGTGGTTAGATTATAATGGGATGCTCTGTATATCAATTACATATATATACACATACGTGTAAGTATGTGTGTATATATATATATATATTTATGTACATACACATATATATATATATATATATGTATATATAAATAAAAATTTCAGAGAGAGTACATAGCTAGATCAAAATACTATTGATCAGTGACATTAATAAAGGTCAGAATTATTTCCAGTAATACATTGAGAGTTGCATAAAATTGAATTCTAAGTTTCTTTTCTTTTTAAGAATATACATCATAACGATTGATTACATGTGATAACCATGATGATTCTTAAATTAAATATACTCGAATAATATCAGTGTATAACTCAGAGGTGTCGAACTAGGTGATAGCGAGATCTCTAGGGGAGTTACCCTCTCCTAACCCACTTTCACATGTTTGCATTGAACACTGCATAGAGCTGCTTATACAATCCCGAACAAGTAGAAGAACCTCATTAGCTTGAGGGGAGACAATCCGACACCCTTAACATAAGTAATATAATGAAAATGCTTAAATTCAATTCTTATTATTTTTTTCTTTTTTTATTCGATTACGCAACCTTAGAGAGGTACTGGAAATAATGTTCTGACTTCATTCAACGTAACAGTATCGTACCCTTGTATACAATTAGGTATCATATGGGCCTGTTCCCTGTTTTCAACATGATCATACCTGAGAAGCGAATAATTCATTTACTTTAAGCCACACAGCCAAGAAACAGAAATTCGTCTTTGAAAATGCCATTTTTTCCCCCGCTATTAGAGTTCAAGTTTAAATGAGTTTATATTCAAAATGAGAATCCAAATGTCGACCGAACATTTTTCATTATCCATCGCGTGCAGATTTCCCGAGAAACATATATATATATATCGCCGGATCGTTATTTCTTATTGATTCTGCGTACGTCGTTCGCCAATTATATTCTCTAATTTACGCGCGAAAAAAGCAGTAGTCTTTTTTATGGGAGACGATCCTTCCGACATTTCTACATCCGTGTCATCCGACAGAAGTCTCTTACCAACTGATCGCTTTGGATCGACAGAAATCATCATTCTATTAATAGCCTCCAAATCCTGGAAACAAAAAAAAATACGCATGAATAATTCAATATTTATGAAATGAATTTTCTTGAAAAAAAATAATGACCATAGCATAAGAATATTGACTTATGAATGACATGTCTCATGAATATTTTAATAGAATGCTATATATGTAATTGACTGCAGTCAGTTCAATTACAAAAACTATAGATATTAAGGAAAAGATGATTCGAATTACCTTAGCAGGACTACGACTAAAACAATAACTAAGCTGCGGCGCTGGAGAAGCGGAGATGGCTTTTGGGTCCAGGGTACGCGTCATAATACTACTGGTTACATGTCTGACTGGAGAGCTCGCTGGCGGCTTCGCTTTGGGTAGGGGGCTCAACGAAAGATTCGTCACGCTGCCTCGGGCCAATCCTAATTTGTTCGCCACCTCTTTCACCTGAGGCACGTACACTGTATTGTAAAATTTGATCAGGTCACCCCGTGTCTCTTCCCCGAAGCTCTGAGAAGTTCCCGCCATATTCGAGGGCGTGGGTGGAGCCACGTTCGCCTCTTTATCCGGCGCGTCTTTCGCGCCGGATTCGTCGTTGTTCGACTGCGACTGGTTGGAGGGTGTTTTAGCGATAAGTACAGATCTGTATATGTGCGACTCTGCCTGCGGCTGTAGCCGGTAGCACCGCATGATCTCCGTGAACGAGTTCTTCTCCATTTTCGCTAATTTACAGATCACGTAGATTGCACACATCAGGATCTGATCGAGATGCCGGTCCTTCATCAGTTCTGTTCTGTCCTTGATCGAGTACTCGAATATCGTCCAGATTTTCTTTTTCAGATCGGTGTCCATTATCTCCAGGGAACCGCATAGATCCAACATGCGCACGCACGCGAGATTGTAAAATTTCCTAAAGAAAAGCGCGACTGAACCGGTCCGTTTTGGCTTCGCCGGTTCCCTGTTGATTGTCATGGTTTGTATCGGGGCAGTCGTCGACTGAACGCTGGACGATCTGGGAACCGTTATTTGTTCAGGTAGCAACAGTATTCTCTGGTTACCGTCTATGGCCAGAACCTTCTGCGGTAACATACTCTGACCGGCTACTCGTAGCACGCTCTGACCGCCGATCCGAGTGTCCGCGAACAGACGCTTCTTGGCTACACCCGAAGCTGCAACCGGAGACTGAAATCTTTCAGAGGCAGAGGAAATCGGACTCTGCTGCACGTCGTGGTGGGTGCCACGGTCCAATGCGATTCTCCGCAACACCGGTTGTCCGGGTATGTTTGGATCAACGGTTTCCAATGTTCCTGGCAACGAAACTTCTTCGCAACTGGGAACACCTTCCGGTGTGGACTGGATAGCTCCCCACAAAGGGCTGTCACTCTGCCATGCGAGAGATTCTAAAATCTTTTCCTCTATCTGATTCAGGTGCTTCACAACGTCGCGCGACAGTTGGTCCTCCGCTCTGACTATAATTTCTATCACTTTGTAAAAATAGTAAGCGTCGAGGTTCAACGCGTTCAAGATCCAAGGGAAGACTTTGTCGTTGCTCTTATAAGAATAAATGACTATCTCCAGGCAACAAGCGAATAAGCATTGAATGAACACCTCGTTTGTGAGAAGGTTCTGAAACAGGAAAGAATATATTAGTTGAATATTGTAATTTCTCTGCTTCTTCTGGAGAATCATTCAACGTACCGTAACGTCGTAACTTGGCTTCTTGCGTTTCTCTTCGTTTAAAATCATCTCTAGAAGTCTGTAAAACAGAGTCTGGCCCAGGTAAAGTCTTTTCTTTCCAAAATCTGAGGTAGTCTCATTTGCATTTGTACTTTTATTGTAATTTGCGTAAAAATGTTCTCCTATTTCCTTCACCTTCGTTTCAACCAATGATTTCACATCCTGCGAACAGCTATTCAATATTTGTAGAAGATTCTCGCTCGGAGAAGTTTGTCCTGCCAGCATGGCTTGTAGTCGAATGACACTTTGTGTAGCGGTAGACACCGGTGTCACGTTTGTAATATCTTTTGGTCTAAGGTAACCACGTCCTGTTAATGGAGTCGGGGGTGCTAAATGCTGTATCTGTTAGGGAAAGTTTCGTGATACAGAGTTTGTTAACAAAATCATTGCTTGCGAAGAGATTGGATGATTACTATCAATAATTACCCCACTATACTGTTCTCTCTTCAGTTGAAACTGTTCTTGAAGGTCTCCAACGTTCATCATCTGCGTAGGAGAACCAATATTATTACTTGCATCATGACCTACAACAAAAAAATATCAAATATAGAATATACTTCATTACATTATTAGTAGATTGTTGATTTTTATGCGTGTATAGCGAGTGCAAATATATAAAGGCAAAATACAACATGTACGCCAGCTTCTTAATTTTATATACCTCCTGTAATAGAGATCATTTTCACGGACAGATTTTTTTAAGTTTAGCCGCTTTTTAACAACGTAGAGTTAAATTTCTTGTATATTATAAACCCACCTCTGAGTAAAATATGTTTGGCTAATTTAGCGCAAGCTATATCTCCTCCAACTAATTCCAAGCTTGATATTCCATTTAGTCTGACTCTTCTCCAATCAGCTTCAAATCACAGCCAAGACAAAGCAGACACGAATTGATTAACAGCAGGAAATGAAAATTATTACCACACAAGATAGACATTCATGCACTGTACACTTGATTAGATAAAAAATTGCAAATCAAAAAACATAAGCAGATCAGTAAGATTATCTCAAAGATATAGATAATTATATCTCAGTAAAAAAAAAATGCAATATATTTGGAATGACTTCATTGTTTACAATGAAGAGAACTTAACCACAGCTTACACGCATACCGATTTTGTATGTACAAACCTATTTAAATGTCATTTATTAGTAGACAGTAAGGAAAATTGAAGCTTTTTGAATTTATAATTTTAAAATAAATAATGTTTATCAAAGCAAAAGACAATAAAGTAAGCATACAAGCATGCAAGTTACAGTATGTTCTTTTATTTACAAGCAATTCTCCCTTAATAAGCAATATTGACAGCAAAATGTTAGGTAAGTATGAGTTAATTAAGCTAAAATATATACCTAAGAAGATTCTTTCGTCAAAATCTCCAACGCTCAGTACATGTTGCTCATACACTCTATTGATAGCTTTATTGTTGCCATCAAAATTTAAAGCTTCCAAAATGCCAGAAAAATTCGATGGATCTCCACGTAGAACTTTTTCATCGAATAATTTCTTGATATGACTTCTTAGGTAATATTCCTTAATAACTTTAGCTTCAACCGCAATAGCTTCGTGACGTTCACATAACAAACTGACTATACAATTTGCTGTTTGAGGAGGAGTATAATTCTCATCGCTAAAGTTTGGAGGTAGACCTATCAATGAGTAAATAAAGAAGCAGATAAATAAATAATTCAGATTTCCTTAAATTAAATACTACATGCATTTACCTGGAAAGTTAGGATTTAAAAGATCTTTTCTATTAGCCAATAAAGCATTGCTATATATAAGATCACAACAGACCAACAGTAAATGATAGGAATTAACTAAATCATCGGAGATAGCAGGTAATGCTCCCTTTATACAAATAAATAAGGCCCAGCAGAATTCGAATACTCTTGCAGGAGTACAGGGCATTGCTTTATGTCTCCTAGATCTTGGTGGTTTTGAAATATCATCTGCTGGATCTTTGAATATGTCAGTGAATATTGGCTGATACTTTTTAAATATAACCATCGAGACAGAAAAATTTCCTTCTAATTTCTCGATTTTGGAGCGAAAATCTTGAGGCATGTTTGCCATATCTGCCCATGACTTGCTTTTTGTAAAGAACTGTATTAGTGGAAGATTGCACAGTTGCAATAAACGAGTCAGTGATACACAATTTCCTTCCACGTGAGCTCCTGTTCTTCCAACAGTGGGTATAGAAGATTTACGGCATGCAACGTACAATGCACACCCTATCCAATGTAATTGATCACCCTAAAAAGAATCACAATAACATCTTTAAGTACAACCTTATACGGCATATATAACATATCTGTTTTCATGAAATTTCAAGAATAAGGAAACAAACAATGGCTGTTATAAATTTTTCATTAATTTGTTTCCATTATCTAAAAACATACATTACATTGTAAAGTTAATGTCTTAACAACTTTTATTCTAAATTATTATTTACTTATGGAATACACAAATATATGTAATGTCTATCAATGGTTGTAGAATCATAAAAATGGTGCAATATTGGTGTAACCATACAATAGAAATATGATGTGGAATATTTGTCCAAAGTAAACATGAACTTCAAAATCCTCAGCTATTCCTGAAGACAATACACGATTACAAAAGGAACTTTACAAACAAATAGAATCATCAAACACAGTGCTCCTTCTCCCTAAGGTTGATAAGTTCAAAATAGACAGTATGAAATCATAACTGTGCCATGTTATGGGAACGGGATATCCGTTATGAAAGATAGACTTTTCGTGGAATGAACGTTGAACCTTTCCAGCGAATAGTTTACGATTGTTAGTAAATTTTAAATTCGTGCGCTTTGATCGTCAGGCCGAAATGAACCGCGAATTCAACGACGTCGAAGATCGCGCAGAAAAGTCAAATGATTCGGTAGGATGCAAAGAAAAGGGGATTACGAGAACAGGACAGCAGTTAACAGTAGAAACGACGAGACACTGTCACAAGAGATCCGGATAATTAAATGCGCCTTGAAATCGCGACGAAAGTGAAGTAATTCAAAAAGTACCTCGAGAGTGTAATTCTGTCGGATCGTCTCATAAGATTTCCAGGCCTCGGACGCGGAAGTCGCATCCATATTCAATTTTTGACACAAGTCTTGATGTCTGCTATAAGTGGAGTCCTCGATGTCGTCCGACTGCCCCATTTTCGTCGGAAAACCGATGGAAAACCGTAGGAAAACACGACTACCTTACACCGCTATACAAGACCGAGCTGCGCCATACGAGAGCTCCGTAATGGTTTGGCGGGAAACCAACCGAGTTCCGCCATATTTGCCATGTTGGCGGGAAATGTAGAACAGCGATTATAAGAAAAAAATCCTTAGGCCGATTTTATCGTGAATATCGTTGATCGTTCTATAGTTTGATAATTCGTGAAATACAGTGGAAAGATCGACGCGACGCATCTCGGTTTGTATAATAAATATTAAAAATTACGTTCTCGTTGGATTCCCGAGTTTCGATCACGCGACAATGGTTTTTACGATCTTTAAAACAACGGAATTAAAAGAGGCGGCAAAATGTTCGGGACCCATTCTTGTATCCGTGAAGTATATATTTATACATTTTATTATTTCTATATATCGTGGATAATCACGAACGACGAAGTGGTGAAAATTATCGAACAAGTTGATACTCCGTCGGCAAAGTGCGCGTTACATTTATTCGGATGACGCGCATTATCCAATCAAAAATCCAATTTTCCGTCGTCTCGATTTGAAACGCTTGTTTTCCATTGGCTTCCCGGTGCTCCCTCGTACGTTGCTCGTTCATTTGGTTTGTTTGTAAAAACTAACTATAAAACTAATTTATTTCGAACGCGCAAGATAATAATATTTTACTCGTTGCGCAGTTGTTCGTTTAAGAATGGAATTTAGCGTTGAATTCTATAAATTGTATGCCGAAGGTGGGTTTATTTGTTGCATAATATAACCGACGCCGAAACGATTCTTATTCGTTTAGAAGATGCATATCGATGATTTTCAGATACATATGGGAGAATTAATGAATTACGTGGAATAGGAATAACGATACGTGCGGATTTAGAAAGCACTCTATGTCGACGATGCGCTTCCATGGTATAAATATGTAAATACAATATGGCGGATAGAAGCGGAACGTTACGAGCTTCTCCGAATGGCATTTTGCCAATTGATTGAGAAATAGCAGAACTCGTGAATGTGATCGAGTTTCGGGCGTGCACGGACATTTGAACAACATGGATTAAAGGATATCGCGCAGAATACTCGGACCTTCTTTCGATCATCTTTAAAATGTCACGAAGGTGGTGTTGTTGAAGAATGTTTATTTCTTGAGAAATGGTAACCGTGGTAGTAGCACTATCCGGCGCAATATGAAATAAACAGTCACGAAACTCGTATTCCGTCGAATGCAACGGTACCGTGGTTTTCACGTTCGACTCGCCGGCATTTCGCATAACAATGTCTGATGTATAGGTACTGTCATGGACACAGATGTAGAGCTTGGCAAAGGTGAAGGGTGTGAAACGAGTCCAGGTTGCTCTGGCTATTCTAGCATGGTGCACAGTAAAAAAGTTATCAAACATGCACTACGACAGCAGGCCAAGAGACGCAGGAAAAACACTACCATAGCAGCTGGCAATTCTCGTACTTTGCCAAGGATCGTCGTCAAACCATTGCCACCACCTCCACCGAATGATCCACCGTCTCCAGTAAACAATGTGCAACATATTAATACTAGTAAGTGACATAATCAACAGATAATCTAATGTACGAACATGTGATCTATTATTGACATACCAAATACATCTGACAGAACAAAGATGATTTAGATCAAAATAAAGAAATAAAGATAAGTGAAAAAATATTTAGGATACGTAAGGTTCGAACTGTACTTATTTATTCCAATCTATATTTACCTAGCTATTATAACTAAAAATTTTTTTTTGTGGGATTCCTTGTTAGAATTATGATAATAGGAGAATGGGTACCTTTGCAAAATGTATTAGATATGCTTGGTATGCCAATAAATCATTTGTTACTTTAAATAAATTTTATTCTGAAATGAATTTTATTATGATTTTATGCTTTAATCTAATATTTTCTTTGTGTATGTGATAGTTTTTCATTGCAATTTTAAATATAGCAACTGAAGAGCCCGCTGCCACAATGAGAGAGGTCCTGGCTAGTTTGCCGGGATTTAGTTTGAAGTCTGGGCGTCGACGATCAACAAAGAGACTATCTGCAACTGCACAGCTGGAGGCTGGTCTCGTAGATCTTGAGTCTCCGGCGAGTATCTTAGCCAGCACAAGTTTACGTGCTCTTTTAAATAGGCATACCTTTCAGGGTTTGCCACCTTTGTATCAAAGGAAACTTGCGCAGCTTTTGCCTGCTGTAGATAGACAGGTAATGTTTACAGAATGGTTATTACAACATTATACTGTTTCTGATAATTGCTATTAACAAGAATTGTCTGTAGCTCTAAAATGTTCATAAGAGAAGCGACTCTTAATATATAGTTTATTGTTTCTTACTGTTAGGATGCTGCTACATCCGGACTGAACAATGAATTCTTTGCACGAGCATGTTTAGAATGGCGTAAACGTTTGGCGGAGGGAGAATTTACTCCGGAGAATCAACAACGATTGAAGATGGAAGCAGAGAGAGACAAAAATAAATTAGATCCATGGAAAGTGAAACATTTTGAACCGATATGGGGTGAGAAACGTGAACCCAAACTTAGGTCCGGTCTTCATTGTATTTCGGAATCAAGATCTGGCGGGGCTGTAACGCGTTCTAGTTTAAGACTTCGTTTGGAATCTAATGTAGATACACCAGCGTCGGATACTCCTTGTCCTATAATTATGTCTGAAGACAAAGTAGAGGAGGACAATTGTAAAGAGGAAACTACCATAAATAATTCAGACGAATTGCACGAGACACCGGGAATACAAGAATTACTAACAGAAGAATATAACGAAACGACGCATACCTTAATAGATGATAAACACTTAGAGTCTGTAAACATAAGTTCTGTAGAAACAATAGTGGATACCGAAATGCATCAGGATAAGCCGGAAGAGGAAGAGAAACCTGTCACTCTTCCAGAGAAACAAGAGACCATCGAAGACAATGAAGTGATCACACAAGTTTGCCAGGAGAATATTTCAAACGCATATGAAGAAGAAATTCATTTAGCCGAAAGTAAAAAGGATCTCCAGCCGATGGAAGAACATATCCTCGAGGTCTCAGAGGATACAATTTTGTTGCCGGAAGAAAGCGCATCGCCAAAATCAAACGAACAAGTAGAACAAGTATCTCACACACCTACCGAAACGATCTCTCAGCTATCGACAGAGTGCACGCCTCAGTCCACGGTAGATCAAATACCCCAAATATCAAAGGAACAAGTATCTCAAATGTCTGAAGAACAAATCTATCCGATATCTGATTGCGAAACGACAACTATGCTCGAAACATCGCCGACGCAGCAGGAGCAAGTCAGACCAACAGAGATAGTCATGGAAGATTCTGCGTTGATAAACAACAGTCAGACTGAAACGACTCAGGTTTCCCATGAGAATCCGACAGACGGTGAATCGCAAATTCCCGAGGGAATGGAAATTGATAGCGAAACGTTGCAACGTATTCACGAACTGGAGGTGAAGCTTTGTGTAGTTTCTGAAGACAGAATTCATAAGTCTAATTATCTTACCAAGAGTATACTTGTTTTTAGGTAAGAGGGGAAATGCGCGAAGCGTATGAAGAAATTTCAGGATGCCCTGAAGAGATAATGTACCCTATTCTTGAGGGAATGGAGATGGGAACGAACAGCACAGAAGAAACAGAACCGCAAGTTGTCTCCGGTCAGCCGGAGACCACCAGAGACCAGCAAGATGTGAACGGCGGAAACGAAGAGGAAGCTCTCAGAGAGGCTAACAATTATGTTTGTTCCGAAATGTTAGAATGTAGCTGGCCAGTAGACCCGACTGTTAATAACATTAGTAACACGACCAGGGTAAGTATACGTACATAATCAACTATGAGTTCCTAACGTATGCTGCAAAGAATGCTTTTCGTTACTGAAGTCTGCCTTCCTTTCTAAAGACGCAGGAGGAGCTTCAAGTTCCATGGCCATTGGTGGCTGCAGCTTTAGATGGATCCGTGGCTGCGAACATTACCGTGACCACTCAAGACGAGTGCAACGACACGCCGACCACAACCGACTCGACCACTCAATCCCAGCAGTTCATCAATGCCGATTCGAACGTGGAGTCAGTGAACTGTATCCAATTGCCAGTTGTCCAAGGGACGCCTTTTCAATCGGACAGCCTCGCGATCGGCACACCCGGCACAAGTTGTATAATGAAGAACTTTCAGTCGCAAAGTTCACCGATCATAGCTTTCCCACAATTACAATCCATCAGATTCGTGCAAACTAGTTTTCATTCTGATCAGACCGCCGCCCCTGCGTTGAACAGCACGTCTTCGATTACCGGTCAGCTGCAAACCCAGCAGACCACCAATTCGCAGATAAATATAATGAGAACGCAAGAAGAGGTGGTTCAGTTGAATGCTCAGAATAATGCCACGCGGAACGTCAGGACCAACGTCGCGCAAAATCCAGTGCCGAATGTCGTGCCAGCGGCGATCGGCGTGCAACAGAATCGAGCGCAGAACACCATCGTTATACAGCAACAAGCTTCGGCGCCGGCTCAACCGCGACAGGTTGTGGCCACTATACAACAACAACAGTATCCTGGGACAACGGTGGCGGTGTCCTCGAGGACCTCGCGTTCGAATAATCAAGGTAGTCAGAGAGGTTCGAGGAATACTAATAAAGAGCAGGGAGGAGGCAGATCTCGTACTACTACAAAAGAACCACCGGGTGCTGTCAATTTGGAACGGAGTTACCAAATATGTCAAGCGGTGAGTGACAAGTATCATCAATACGTTAACATGACACATTAAGAAATTCTAAATGAACCAAAAAGAGAAGTTAAACCGTACAAAATATATATATGTATATATATGCAACTGAAATTTTTATAATTGGTGCATTACCATATTACATATTTCTGGAGATGATGAAATCTCAAAAGATTGAATAACTTCAGTTTCTAAATGTATTGTAATACTTAATATCGTTTATATTCTTATTACAATCAGATAAATACGAATTGGTATTGCAGGTTATACAAAGTTCACCAAACAGAGATCAATTGAAGGCTCATTTAAAACCTCCGCCAAGTTTACTCGCTAGAGGTGACGGTGTGTACACAACTAGTAAGTCCGGCGGTCGTACGCTGACGACTGTCAAAACTCAAAAACCGCCGCAAACGATACAACATAATAAACAAGCTCAAAACAAAACTCAAGCA